AGGGAGGGTTTTATTGCTCCTGACCTGTGTGAGCGAGAGGAGTATGTGACGTTGCGTTGGTGTATTCTAATGGCTATTTTGTGTACTTTGCAGGAAAGAATGGTGAGTTTCCACTTCGTTAGTTAGCTGTTGGTGTTGGTGTTGGTGTTGTTGCTGACGGGTTGCTTAGCCATTTCTGTGCACGCTTCTGCGTAACAGGCGCCTGTAGTGTTGACACGTTCATAAGTGATCGGGTAAGGATATCCGTTGATTAGCATGTCGTTAAGCGCTTTGGATTTGTTGGATGCTTTTGCTTGATTGTATGATGTGTCTGCAGTCGTCCGTAAACTAAGACACACAAAGGTATTGGAAATCGATGCAGAGTTGCGTTGCTCGTTGCTAAATCAGCGTTTGTGGCACGTGTTGCCTTTGCTTCACAACTGTTGGCTTGTTTTAGACTTAGAGGAGGGTATCGCTCTTCGAAACGAGTAAGTAGATTTTAGTACTTTGAACTTGTATTCTTATTCAGGTTTTTCTTTAATTCTGTTGCATTTTCAGTGAAGAGAATGGTGCTGATGGTGAGGCCTGGAACACGGGAGACAGCAACGAGAGTGTTACCGTCAAGACAGGAAGCGCAACTGATGCAGACGACTTCCAGAAGTTAGGCTGCTGCTTTTCTCTGGGCATTGCCTTTGCCTCCAGCTGTGGTGGTATGGGCACTGTCATCGGTACGCCGACGAACGTTGTCCTCTTCGGCCTCGTGAGCGAGTAAGTGGCATGCTAGTATTCTGCCGTATGTTCTCTGGCCTCAAACTTGTTTTCGGTGTGTTTGCAGTCGCTATGGTACGGACACCGGACTCACCTTCGGTTCGTGGGCCGCCTATGGTATGCCACTCTCATTTATCCTTCTGATTTGCGTTTGGGCTATCCTCGGCATCATTTTCATCGGTCCAAAGTACGTTCACGTGTAACAGTTTGCAATTTCTTGTTGTGTGCGTGGATGTGGATGGAGTTGAGTTGGTTTTGTTGCACTTATCATAGGAAGTTTTTTGCATGCCGCGGTCGTGATAAGTCGCGGGAGGCAGCAATTCAGCAAATCCTGGAAGAGGAGAAGAAGGCTCTGGGTCCGGTCGGGTGAGTCATGAGTTGGAGGACACGTGGGCAGTGTAGTAGTATAAGGCGTTAGTGGAGTGTAAATGGTCTTTCTGTGCTTTAAGATGGGCTGATGGCTCGGCCATGGGCATCCTTGCGTTGGTTATTCTGCTGTGGATTTCTCGGAAGCCTGGTGTTGATGGTTGGTCGGCTATTGTGCCATTCAAGATTGGGGCCAATGGCAAGCGAATTGAGTGAGTTTTGCCTCATGGCTTGTGTCTTGATGGTGATGGGAGGTGGGTAGGTGGGGTTGGTGAGAGTTGAGGAGAGTTGAGGGGGTTTCTCTGGTTCCTTTAGGCTGACGACGGACACTCAGCCAGCTCTTTTGGGCACTATTCTGGTTTGCGTGTGGCCTGCGTACAACCCCTTCCGTAGGAGACGTCCTGATGGTACGTTTGGTCGTCGCATTGTGAGCACGTGTTTGATGGTTGGTGGGAAATGAGGGGTGTCACATTTGATTGGTGGTCCTTGTTGTGAGTTGGTGTGGTTTGTTATGCAGAGGCACCGGTGGATCCCTACGAGACTGTTCTTCCATGGAAGGTGGCTCAGTCGCGTTGTCCGTGGCAGGTTCTCTTCCTCATTGGTGGTGGTTTCTGTCTCTCTGAGATTTGCAGTGTAAGTTCTGCTGTTTGGTATGCTGATAAGGGTTGTCGTGAACGTTGATGCTAGGTGACGTTGTGGTTGTTTGTAGCTGTCTGGTCTCTCGACTCTCGTGGGTCAGTACATGTTGGGTTTGAAGTCGCTCCCACTGTTTGTTCTCATTTTGGTGTTCAGTCTCTTGTCCACTGTGATGACCACTTTCGTGGCAAACGCAGCCACTGCTACGGTGCTTTTGCCTATCATGTTTGAATTGGTAAGTCTGACTGTGAGTGTTGTGGCATCGCCTCGACCACAGCATGTAATGGTTGTTGTTTTGTGTGCATAGTGTGAGAATCTCGAGATCCATCCGTACTACCTCGGATTGCCGGTGACAATTGCTGCTAGTATGGCATTCATGTTGCCGGCAGGGACTCCAGCGAATGCGATCGTCTACAGCAAGGGTCGTATCAACATCAATCAGATGGTGGGTCATGGTTGTTCTGTCTTTCCTTGGATGTTGTGTGAGGAGGGTGTATTCATTGTACTTTCACTTCTGTGTGAGTGTAGATCTTTGCGGGGTCCTTCGTGGCAATCGCTGGTGTTTTAGTGGTAACATGTTGCACAGTGACGTACGGTGTTCCCATCTTCAATTTGAACGTATTTCCCGAGTGGGCTGTTCGTGGAGTCGTGAAGACAACTGCTAGTAGTCTGGGCAACGCAACGACTCCCCTTCCCTAGTCTGTAGCATTGTGGACAGTCTATTTCTCTGTGGTCCTGCTCTGTTCCTGGAGACGTAAGGTGTCATCCTTTTTGATGTTCCCTCTCTGTTTGTGGTAGTTTTCCATTTCGTATAAGGGTCGTTGCTGCGCTCAGTTCCTTACCTTCCCCTACGCTAATATCCTCTTCTACTTGTAATTTGCTATTTTACCCTTTCAGCGATACTGTTTCCCAACCGCACGTAAACTCATATGTAATGTGGTCACTAAGATAATTTAGTGACGGTCAATTTGATGGCTCTTTTATAGCACATCTATCTCACTGTTGACGTCGCTGGCACGGGCTGCTTTGCGTTTGCCAGCGTGGAGATTGACAAAGGGATGCTGTGAATCTGACCCTCTAAAGAAGAAGATCTTGTAATACCTTTGGTTACACCTTTCTTTCTTTCCATTTATTTGTGTAAACTTAATGCTCTGACCTTGCTACTACCTCCTCATCCATTATGTATGCTGATGGTACATTTTCTATTTTTTCTACAATGACTCCTTGTGTCTCAACGATGTATTGGATTTTGTCGGAGTTGTTCATTATAGATAAATGCAAAGTAGAAGTGCAAGTTTTTATCAAAACATAAATCATCAGTAGTCAAATTTGATCTTCTTATGATCATAGATCGATTTGGTCGAGTGAGGATTAAGCTTTGATCTACTTTCGATGTGTCTTCTTCATGGTATCGTTGCAGTTGAAACTCTTGCGTTGCATTTTGGCGCAGTATTTGGCTTGGCTAAATAGAGATGATGCAACTTTATCAGTCCTCTCAAAGACCCTGAAATGCATAGCAGTCATCGTGTAATTTGTGTGGAGCAGGTGATTGAGCTTGTCAGCGTGAGATGAATGTTACAACAAATTTGCGTTGTTTCAAACTCAGTAAACTGATTCCAGGTGTCGCAGAATTGAACATTACAACTTGCTCAGTGAAGGTGTTGACTGCAAGTAAATTACAAAAATTTATCACTTGGCCAAATACTGTGTTTCACATTGACTACAGGCGATGGCTATTTTAATTACTTCTGGCGTTCAGTTAGACACTCCCACCCGTCATCAACGCATGAAAGAGCGATACAAGTACCACCGAGTCTTTTCCAGTTTGATTCTCATTTGGAGGG